GCTTTCCATCACTCTCTCTGAGCTGTACTTTGAGGTGGATGAAGAAGATCCCAGTTTTAAGAAAATCGACCCGAAGGTAAGAGATCATTGACCCTGAGCTCTGAGAGATGATGACAAATTACCCAAGACCTTTAATTCTTCATTCGACTTCCTCTGTTGGTCCGCAGTGTTCCCGCTTTAATAAGTTTGGGGCTGACAATATATGTTACTGAACTTCACGTAGGTGACACCTCCTTTCCTCCTCCTTTTTCTCCCCCTCCCACAATTCGACCCTACTTGAATGTTAATTAGCTTGCTGCGAATAAAGCTCCAGGGAGGCATCTTAAATAAAGACATCTTGAATCACAGGCCTGTGTGAATACTGGAAAGTTCAACAAGGCTTTTAGCCCAAATGCTTTGTTTTACTTTCCTATTTTTATATAATGCTGGTGTAACATAGCGCTAAACTTCCTACGCTCGTAAGTTTTCAGTGCTTCTGCATCGTATTATTCTGTAACAGATTTTACAGGGCCTGTTATTATTTATTGTGCCTAAGCAGAAAACATAATTGCCCTCTTAAAAGGCGTTTCTGAACTGACTTGCTAATTTCCACAAACTTTTATTTGCTCCGAGTTACTTGATTACTAGTCTGTTGTTTAAAATTGGTAACTTTCAGTAAAATTCCCATTTCAGAGACAGTATATTGTGTGATTAGCTTAATAAGGTTGCACTTGAATGTTTTCTACAGTATTACAGCAACATTTCAAAAGTGTGACACGATTGGTAAATATTCTCGCGTCCCAATTTAAGCACAGTGATGCTCTTGGTTTTTTAAATATCTGCTTAATATTGAACAAGGTAGTAATTTCTTTGTGAAGGGGGAAAAAGTCACTGGAAGGAGTAGTGGTTTTCTGCTTGTCTGTAGAGAATACCTTGTGTGTTAAATGCCGGTTCAGGTCTTTGTTCCTATGGAGTAAATTGCTCGTCTGTATTAAAAATGGCATCAGTGGGTCTGAAAGCTGGGATTATCAAATCCTATCAAGGAATAGATTTATTTTGAACACCACCGCTCTCAAATTCTTAGAACTAGAATTTAAGATAAGCAATTGACTAGAATTGTGATTTTAATGTGATACCATAAATGAGATTTAACTTTTCTTTTGGTCCTGAAGTATTTTTGAAATTTTTTGGAAGTTATTTCAAGTATGAGACAGCTCTTAAAATTTTGATATGCTTACTCCTTCCCTAGTGGGTTTTTTTTAAACATTTAATAGTAAAAAGGATATAAATATAAAATGTAAAGAAAGTTTGGTATGTTACTGTATTACATTTTCCATCTAAAATGTTCTGCTTTGTATCGCATTAGCATGAGAAGAGTCTTACAGATCTGCATTATTCTGCATTTTTGTTTTCCATGTTTAGCACGTAGGGCATTTGAGTACAGTTAGCCAGCCTTACCGCTCCTGTTACATGTTTTATGGGAACACTGACATATAACATATATTCAGCTTGCTTTCTCCTGGTTTCGAGTATTTGGTAGTGGCTGCTTTCTGTAGGCATTCCGGTTTGATTTGACTGCGTCTTTAATTCTGTACCTGAGAGATTTTAGTTGGGTTGCTATAAAAGGAAGAGTTGGTTATGTGAAATATAGGCTACACCTCTTACATTCTACTCGTGATGCTACTTTGGCTGGAGGTCTTAAAAGAAAAAAAAAAAAAAAAGACCTTTTGTAAGGTCTCTTGTGAGTGGCGGGGGGGCTTACACCTCTTACATTCTACTCGTGATGCCACTTTAGCCGGAGATATTAAAAGAAAAGACCTTTTGTAAGGTGTCTTGTAAGTATGGGAGGGGGCTAAAAATCCGATCTGAATATTTTTATTTTAAAAAACAAATAAGCTTACAAGGCAGCCCTCTGTTAAGCATTAACGCCTCCCTGCCCCACCCTCTGTGTAAGTCCCTGTACCTCGGTCGCCGTGCCTAGAGCTGCTGGAGAAAAAGCCCCTTGGAGAAGGAAACAAACCCCCGCCCAAAAAAATCCTAATCTGCTGTAGCTCAGAAGGCCTGTTTAATTAATGAGGCTTCATCTGTTTGATAAATTTAAGTTCTTTGTATATTTAACTAAACTACTGAAAAGAAAACACTGTGACAAGTTGCTGGAGCAAAACCTGCCGTAGAGATAGCATGGGCAGCGATAAGATAAGAGTTTGTCCGCTTCCCCCGGGCTGCTTTCAGAAGGAAAGGGTAGCCCCGCCGGCTAAACCCACTTCGCCAGGTGAGCCGGGGAAAGCCCTCTGATGACTTGACAAGAAACTTGTGAAACAGAGCCGGGCTTTAGCGTCAGCCCGGGCTGGGAGAGGCTGGGGGTAAGGCACCTTCGGGGGCCGGGGCCGGGGGTGCCCGCCTGGCCCTGGGCAGGGTCTCCCCGGGCTGCCCTCCGACTTGGTCATTTCGTTTTTAACTTTAAAGAGAAAAAACCAACTCAGATTGGAATAGCTATTTCTTTCCGGATCCGTCCACAAAGAAACGGAAGTAGTCCTTTGGGGCAAGAACGTACATTTTT